CAATGGGTTGCTGAAAGTAGTGAGATTTGGCAGTGAAATCTTCTACATGGCTACTTGGAGATGAGAAGGAAAAAGACTAGTTTCTAGGAATTTCATTGCATTAGTTCAGCCCTGATAGAGACGTAGGAGAAGAGAGAGAACGTGCCAGTCTTTGCAAAAAATATTCTATTACATGTCCTGTGTATAATTTTATATGTGATATTATATATGCCTTAGGTAGATCCTACTTGGCCTTTGTTTAAATATGTCAGGTTTCAAACATAAATTTTGCAAAGCCAAAATGAAAAATGTACTAAACTCTTGACACCAGCTTTAGTAGACAAAACTGTCTTATAATTTGTATGCTTCCTGTTCTCTAACTTCAGATTCGATACAAGACCAATGAACCAGTATGGGAGGAAAACTTTACTTTCTTTGTACACAATCCCAAAAGACAAGAACTTGAAGTTGAGGTATGTTGTCTCACTCTCTTTGGATACCTTTCTTTTCAAAGGCATTGCAGTAGTAATATTCAGACATTACAGGCTGTTATGAAATGAGACTGAATATACTGTGAACACCATTAAAATTATACTTAAAAGTGTTTTTTAAGACCAGGCTATGAAATGATTATTTGCATTTACTACTAAAAGGAAGAAAGACTATAACTAGTCTCTCACCAGAAGAACATAGTTGATGGTTGTCTTTCTTAGGAAAAAAAAAAAAGGAAAAAAAGTAAATTTTGATACCTATTTTGAACCTTAACATTCTTGACTGCTAGTAGAAATCGCTGTCATGTATGGCTGATATATTTCCTCTCTCCTCCCAAGGAAGTCTTTGCTTTATCCAAATACTGTATCACTTTCCACTGCTGACATGTCATTTACATAGTTCAAAGAGACTGAAGTGTAAATGAGGACTGTCCTAGTTACTATTCCTCTAACAGTTGTGGGAATTCATTTTCATACAGACTGTTTGGAAACCATGTAGTTATTTTGATCAAGAGTCAGGTAGATGTAGATCTGATGGTTAGTTTTCTGTCTTGCTTTTGCTGGAGAAGATAGGGATGAAGAAACTAAGCATTGAGTATATTTGCTATTTCCTTCTTCAATGTAAAGTAATCTTATGATCAGGGAAATTTGGTTTAAGAACAAACTACATTTGCTATTGTTTGGATTTTTTGTTTTTAAATAAAACTGTCATTTCCTTTTCTTTCTCTGAATTCTTACAAAGCTCATGATAAAAAATGACTTGGCTTCTGTGTTCCTTCAGGTGAGGGATGAACAGCACCAGTGTTCTTTGGGGAACTTCAAACTGCCTCTAAGCCAGTTGCTAGAGAGTGAAGATTTAACTATGCATCAGCGGTTCCACCTGAGCAACTCTGGTCCAAACAGCACTATAAACATGAAGATTGCACTCAGGGTACTCTAAAACTTTTCCCATTGTAAATATCTGAAAGCATATTTAAGACTATTGTGACTTCTGGTCTTCTAGCTTTATGAAGGAGATAGTACATTTTTGTGGGTGTCACAATGCCAAATGTCCTTAGTTGTGGCAGTGCTATCAAGTACGCAGAGATAACCTCTGATTTAAATATGTTCTATTTCAAAACCAGAAAGTTCTCCCAACGAAACAGTAATGACTGCATTCATTAGGGCTGAGGTTCCCTGTGGTTTTAGGTTCAGAAATCATGTTTGGAATCTGAATTCCTTCAAAGTCTCTTATGACTCAGTAGGCTACAGATCAGTGAAATCACCTTTATCTTACAGAAATGGAACTGAGGTCATGATAGTTTAAAAAGAATAAAGTTTATAGGGAAAGGAAGTACCTTCGTAGTACTAGAAAAATTCAGACCAACTTTGAAGCACATTGGAGTTTTGAAGACAAAACTTGCATACCTGAAAGTTTGTCTTTTTCCCCAGCTAAATTACTTCGTTTAATAAAGTAGTACGTCTCTCTGCAAACACTGTCAAACTTTTGTTAACTTCTGTTATTTGTTCTTTTCTAAAGCACCTTCTTGCTTACTTGTCATTAATTAAATGAAAGTAACCTATAAAAGAGAAAGTAAGGACAATTCAGTGAGAAGAACTTGTGATGTAGGATTAAATTTCAAAAGATTAGAAGAAAAAAATTAGAGAATTAGCTTTCCAGGTGACTAGAGCTGCAAAGTAAATAGCACTTGGCACCAGAAGCGTGTAGAGTATGGGAAAGGAATAATGAGGAGAATAATTCTAAATTAATGCAGAATTTCACATTGTTTTATAGTTACTGCAGTTGCCACAAAGAAGATGGAGCTGTGTTTTGCTGTGCAAAAGGTTTCCTGTTGTAGAGTGAATGAGTATAAGCGTGAATGTTTTTGGTCCTGCTTTAGTGTCTGAATTTAACAACTTGTCACCAGCCAGTACTCTGATAGAAGCAAATTTGTTCCTGTTTTTTATACTGGAAAATAGTAATATTATATGTATTTTTACTGTATCTAGGTCCTTTCTCTTGAAAAGCAAGCAAGATCCCCAGATCATCAACACTCAGCCCAAGTAAAAAGGCCATCTCTTTCCAAAGATGCAAGAAAATCATCTTTTAAGCCTCAGGTTCCTGTCTCACCACCACCTGATTCAAACAAACCTATTCCAGCTTCCCCAGTGACTGACAGTGATAAAAAGACTGATACAGCTGAAAAAAATCAGCCTCCCAATGCCAGCCCTCAGTGGCCAACAGATCTCAGCCGAAGTTCCTCCAGTCTTCATGCCTCTAACTTCTCTTATTCTCCTAGCCACCTCTCAGTCAAAGAACCCACTCCTAGCATAGCCTCAGACATATCTCTGCCTATCGCCACGCAGGAGCTACGGCAGAGACTACGACAGCTTGAAAAGTACAATGTTAATTACTTGTTTTTGCAATACACCTAAAATGATTTATAAAAAATGTCGTCAGTTCAGCCAGAGAAAGAGTGCTTAATTTGCATTTCAGTAATACTTCTTCCTGTTGGGAGTTTGAGCCTGGCATTTGAAAATCAGTTGTTGTGATTTTTCTACTTCCTCTGGATAACTCAGTTAGACAGATTCTGCAATTAGAAGTTACCTTACCATTTTGATGATCTGCAAGATAAAGTCCACCTTGTTCTGATAGCTACATTGTGTACTGCTAAAAAGAGTGGGGTGGCAAGAGGGAAGGATATTTTTTGATACAACATTAATCACTTCCATGGCAATAGTTGCCTGTTTCACCACTGAATCCTATTACTGTTAATGTTAAGCCAATTAAGCTGAATATAGCTGGTCTTTTTAAATTACCCGGAGGGATAGTTCACTATGAAGAACATTAAATGAATAGTCAGTTACTATTCCATTAATGAGGATTGCTGCAGCCATGCTTTCTTAAATTCTCTGATTTTTTTTTACTTGCCTCAACAGGCAGCTATACTTACCAGTAGAGATAGCTGAGCAGACGTTCTGCTCTGAATAGAAGAATGGAAACCATTAATTCCCTATTCATGTAGCTTCTCTAAGAATCTAAGTAGAAAGATTTTAGGTTTTTTATATGTAAGGGATTGAACTGATTCATCTTTTTCTCTATCGGAGTTCATAGAATCAATAGAGTAATAAGGTTGGAAGGAACCTCTGGATGTTTTTAAAGTGAATGACTTGGGAATTTTAATGGAGCAATCACTTTGTAGTAGCTATTCACAAAAGAAGCATGCCTCTCCCTTGAAGTTAAGATACCTTTCAGGTGGTTGAGAGATGCCAAGCATGCCATATACTGTCCTGTGTGGAATGGAAAATATTCGTAGTCAGTTTACACAAACTAAAATAAGTGTTTCATAGAGATGAAGGAACTCTGCAAATATTGGCCATTCTTTAAAACAGAAGTTCTTAAATATGGTGCTTGCTTTTTATTTAAGCACGACCTGTATTTGTAAGTGTAAATTGATCGTGATCTTATTTTCAATGTGCCATGAACTACAGAAAAGTAAAATAGCTATATATATGCTGTGATTTGAGCTTTTAAGACAGTAAGTGGGTTTAAGGATCACTGTTTTAATACCAAGAACATCTGTATTTCTGCATTAGAGAACTTAGAAAAAACTGAGGTGGTCTTCTAATTGGTTCCTGGCCATAGGTAAGAGTGGCCCATCACGGAGGTTTTCATTGCAGTTTGCACCATTGTTCTTTTCAATTTCCTAGATACTGCTTTAATGTTTATTTTAATGTAAGCAACTGCTTTACTGATAGTGGTTTTCACAGTACTGAAGAGCAGCTGAGGTTTAAACTGACAAGAATACCTAGCTTATTTTGGAGAGTAGAGCTGTTGGACAAGAAACTGATGAAGATATGCTCACATGCTAACGTGTGCTCTCTTCTTTCACATTGGTCAAGTGAAAAGTTAAATGGAAACTTAAATGGAGATTTCTGGGGAAACTACTCTGCATGTATTTCAGTTAGATCTTACTTTAAATACATGTTTTTAAAACTAAGCATAATGTTCTACTTTTTCCTGCAGTGGAACAACTCTAGGGCAGTCTCCATTAGGACAGATTCAGCTAACGATTCGTCATAGTTCACAAAGAAACAAACTGATTGTGGTAGTGCCTTCCTG